TGTAAGGATAAAAGAAACTAGAATACTTTGATCTCCTGAGAGGCAAACAATGCACTGGCATCTTCAGGACACCCCACAGAGGGGTGGTGCGGGAAACGCCTCTCTCACATATGCATCTGTGCCTTTTCATCTCCTCCCTCCACTGGATTCACTCAAACTGGTCAAGAATATAATGTTCTAAATGAATGCAAATAAGATTTACAGTCATGTTTGGTTTCATTTGAATAGTTTCAGGGCAAGTGGTACAATGGTCTTAATCTTACTAAAAGATAATACAGATCCTAAGAGTTAAGAGAAACTTTGATCACCGTAGAGAGCAATCCCATGCAAATTACCTTTTGTTCCCATTTGAGGTGTAGACCACCCAGGTCTGGGACCTGGCTTAATGCAAATTCCAATTGTTTGTACAGGTCTCCATTTGGAGGATGTCTTTTCTTGGTTTCGTATTTAAAGGATTGCAGCAAAAGGATGTCCAGAATGCCCGTAGTACAGAGTATCTCCACATACTCTGTACTATGTATTTTTCTAATACATCTAATACATTTAATCTCAGGAATGCATTTTACTCTTAGATTCGTCTTTGAGAGTTTGATGTCTTGTATTGATTTGATATCGTTGAATTGGCTGTGGAGATAATTGTCATAATACATATTTACTTGACTGATAATAAATTGTTACATTTGATTTATTCTGACTCACTCTGAAGTTATTTTCTCAAGTAGATTAAGTGAAGGCTTATGTTGTCCGCAAATCTGCGTCCAGGGTTAAGTGCACATTAGATCTCAGGAAATTAGAATTCAGATACTAAAATGGAGTCAGATTGAGTTAAACCTAAATTGAATAACTCTGCGCGCTGAAAAGACCGAACACGCAAGAGACCTTCATCCGCCACTGGAGACCTTCGTTGGGCTAGGTGAGCATGATGTTTTTACTTTTAAAACCATTTCAGTAAGACTTCACTTAGGAAAAATGCAAATATATTATTTTTAGTTTATTTGCTGTAAAAGGAATGTTTTTAAATTATAAAAAAAGATAAATAGATAAAGTAGAATTAAAAGATTAGAAAGTGCTAGAGTTAGAGGGTCAAATAAAGATGGAACAGATGTGTTTTCAGTCGTTCCTTGAAGATGGCTAAGGACTAAACCGCTCGATTGAGTTGGGCAGGTCATTCCACTAGGAGGGAAAAGTTAATGTAAAAGTCAGTGAAAGTGATTTTGTGCCTCTTTGAGATGGCACAATAATACGCCGTTCACTTGCAGATCGCAAGCTTCTGGAGGGCACATGACTCTGAAGTAATGAATTCTGTAGGCAAACATTAATGCCTTGAATTTTATGCGAGCAGCTACTGGTAGCCAGTGCAAATTGATGAACAGGGGTGTGACATGCGTTCTTTTCGGCTCATTAAAGATGAATCTTGCAGCGGCATTTTGGATTAATTGTAGATGTTTGATAGAAGTGGCTGGAAGACCTGCCAAGAGAGTATTGCAATAGTTCAGCCTGGATAGAACAAGAGCTTGAATAAGGAGTTGTGTTGCATGTTCTGAAAGAAAGGGCCTGATCTTCCTAATGTTGTATAAAGCAAATCTGCAGGACCGGGCAGTTTTAGCAATGTGGGCTGAGAAATTCAGCTTATCATCAATCACAACTCCAAGGTTTCTAGCGGTTTTTGAAGGAGCTATGGTTGATGAGCCATATGATAAATTTTGATAAAGTGATGGGTTTGTTGAAACCACAAGCAGTTCTGTCTTAGCCAGGTTGAGTTGAAGGTGATGGTCCGTCATCCAACAAGAAATGTCTGTTAGACATGCTGAGATGCGAGCAGTTATCGTCGGATCATCAGGATGGGATGTGAGGTAGAGTTGAGTGTCATCAGCATAGCAGTGATATGAAAAGCCATGTTTCTGAATGACAGAACCTAGTGATGCCATGTAGACAGAGAAGAGAAGTGGTTCAAGAACTGAGCCCTGAGGCACCCCAGTAGCTAGATGTTGCGACTTGGACACCTCACCTCTCCAAGATACCTTGAAGGACCTATCTGAGAGGTAAGACTCAAACCGTGCGGTTCCTGAGATGCCATTTTCCAATAGGGTTGACAAGAGGATCTGGTGGTTCACCGTATCAAAAGCAGCAGACCGATCCAGCAAGATAAGTATTGAAGATTTGGAAGCCGCTCTTGCCAGTCTTAGGGCTTCAACAACTGAAAGCAAGGCAGTTTTGGTCGAATGTCCACTTCTGAAGCCAGATTGGATGCTGTCCAGATGGAATAGGATCAAGTGGACAAGTAGTAGGATGATTGAAAAGCATGAGTTTAGAGACTTCTGCCTCAGTGAGTGGAGAGAAGGATGAAAACGAGTGTATGTTTGCTGGTAAAATGTGTTTGACAGTTTGTGGTGTGGCAAATTGTGCACTGAGGTTTGTAATATTAATGAAGAATGTGGCAAAGTCGTCAGCTGTTAGAGTTGATGAAGGAGGGGGAGGAGGAGGACAAAGGAGGGAGGAAAATGTTTTAAAGAGCATGCGAGAGTTAGGTGAATTGTTAATTTTGTTGTGATAGTATGTCCTTTTAGCAGTGGAGACATTAGCAGAGAATGAAGAGAGGAGTGATCGATATACATTAAGGTCAGTAGGATTTTGTGATTTGCGCCATACTCTTTCTGCAGCTCTGAGCTTAGAACGATGCTCACGGAGAACATAGCCAAGGGGCAGAAGAGGTCTTACGAGCTGGCCTGGAAAACAAGGGGCAGACAGTGTCTAAACAAGATCTAAGAGTGGAGCAGAAAGTATCAGTAGCACTGTTAGCATCAAGAGATGCTAACTGTTCAGGGGAAGGAAGCAAAGATGAAACAATAGCAGACAGCCGGGAGGGTGAGAGAGAGCGTAGGTTACGTCGAAAAGTGACATGTGGAGGGGTATGTGTTGTATCAGGAACCATGTTGAGGTTAAGAGTGAGGAGGAAGTGATCCGAGGTGTGCAGTGGAGTAACCAGTACATGATCATTGGAGCAGTGTTGTGTGTAAATAAGGTCCAGTTGGTTGCCTTATTTGTGAGCAGCCATAGTTAACACTCGCTTGAGATCAAAAGAGGCAAGCAGAGTGTGGAAGTCTGCAGCCTGAGGTTTATTAAAAACGCAGTACACGTAGCAAGGTTTTTTTTATTATATAATATATAAAAAGAAAACAGATAGAATAGAAGAAGAATAGAGCAAGCTAGTGTTAGAGGCCTTTTTTTGCTTTTGTTAATTGTATAATATATAAAAAGAAAACAAATAGATAGAATACAAAAAGATTAGAGAAGCTAGTGTTTTTTTAAGAATAGAATTAGAATAGAGAGTGCTAGAGTTAGAAGGTCAAATAAAGATGGAAGAGATGTTTTTAGCCAATTCTTGAAGATGGCTAAGGACTCAAACTGTCACGAATCCTGTCCATGAACTTCCGTCTGCTTGCCACCAGAGGTCACCCTCCCATTATATTGACTCTCACACCACACAGACTGTTACACATCCCCCTGGACTACATTTCCCATGCTCCATTGCACTAATCACAAACTCACCTGAAACCAATCACACACAGCTGCTACCAACAACACACTACATAAATCAGTCTCACACCACAATTCAACGCAGAGTATTGATTAGCGTATATCACGGTTTAGCTGATAGCTACCTTACGGAGCCTGCTTTAGTTTTCCTAGCCTCTTTCTGCAGCTCTGAGCTTAGAACGATGCTCACGGAGAACATAGCCAAGGGGCAGAAGAGGTCTTACGAGCTGGCCTGGAAAACAAGGGGCAGACAGTGTCTAAACAAGATCTAAGAGTGGAGCAGAAAGTATCAGTAGCACTGTTAGCATCAAGAGATGCTAACTGTTCAGGGGAAGGAAGCAAAGATGAAACAATAGCAGACAGCCGGGAGGGTGAGAGAGAGCGTAGGTTACGTCGAAAAGTGACATGTGGAGGGGTATGTGTTGTATCAGGAACCATGTTGAGGTTAAGAGTGAGGAGGAAGTGATCCGAGGTGTGCAGTGGAGTAACCAGTACATGATCATTGGAGCAGTGTTGTGTGTAAATAAGGTCCAGTTGGTTGCCTTATTTGTGAGCAGCCATAGTTAACACTCGCTTGAGATCAAAAGAGGCAAGCAGAGTGTGGAAGTCTGCAGCCTGAGGTTTATTAAAAACGCAGTACACGTAGCAAGGTTTTTTTTATTATATAATATATAAAAAGAAAACAGATAGAATAGAAGAAGAATAGAGCAAGCTAGTGTTAGAGGCCTTTTTTTGCTTTTGTTAATTGTATAATATATAAAAAGAAAACAAATAGATAGAATACAAAAAGATTAGAGAAGCTAGTGTTTTTTTAAGAATAGAATTAGAATAGAGAGTGCTAGAGTTAGAAGGTCAAATAAAGATGGAAGAGATGTTTTTAGCCAATTCTTGAAGATGGCTAAGGACTCAAACTGTCACGAATCCTGTCCATGAACTTCCGTCTGCTTGCCACCAGAGGTCACCCTCCCATTATATTGACTCTCACACCACACAGACTGTTACACATCCCCCTGGACTACATTTCCCATGCTCCATTGCACTAATCACAAACTCACCTGAAACCAATCACACACAGCTGCTACCAACAACACACTACATAAATCAGTCTCACACCACAATTCAACGCAGAGTATTGATTAGCGTATATCACGGTTTAGCTGATAGCTACCTTACGGAGCCTGCTTTAGTTTTCCTAGCCTTATCTGAGTCTTGCCTTGTCCGTTTTCTCATGTTCTGATCATTGCCTGTGTATCTCGGATTACCCCTCTCGTCTTGCCCTGTTCAGATACCATTTACCCCTGCCTGGACCTTTGCCTTGTACCTGGATTATCCCTCTAGTCTCGCCCTGTTGGATTACGTTTGCCGTCGACTGACCCTCGCTTGTTTACCGGACTGCTCTTGCCTTGTCTTCTACATACCAGTTTGCCATTGTCTGACCCATGCCTGTTTCTGACCACGTCTTCTAAATAAAGCTTGCAAATGGATCCGCACGTCTCACGTCTCTTTCGTCCCGTAACACAAACAAAACATGTTTACACTGGAGCTTCCATTTACCTTAATTATACTTTCCAAATACCTTAATGTGAATAATAGCCTACATTAAATCTTTTCGTCATAAAATTACGGCAAATTACTCAATTTTTGAAACTTCCATTTTTAGTGAACATGACTTACAATTGAGGGATAGAAATTTCTCAGGTTTCATTAAAATATCGTCATTTGTGTTTCAAAGATGAACTAAAGTCTTTAGTTCCGAGTTTGGAATTTTCACTTTTGGACGAACAGTTTCTTGAAATTCAATGAATAATTTCTGAGTGAAAACACAATATTCAGAAGTAAATAATGTAAGATGGGACTTAATTTTAGGGATTTAATAGATATTTGTGGTTGACATTTTCCACGCCCACATGGCCTTTGTTAAATCAGCAGCTGTATTGAAGATGGAAGTTGAAAAAGGATTGTTAAGCTTTATCGACAGTGTCATGCCACTCTATATTTGGTTGTATTTTTTTTACTTTGCAACTGTTAAACCATGCTAAAATTAAACTAACTCAAAAATTAGTTATTCAACAAAGTTCGTCAACTTTGCTGAGGCCAGTATGCAATTTTGTCCCAATAATCTGATGCATAATATTCAAGTCCTATGGGTATACTTTCAAAACACTGTATGTATTTCAGTGTTTATCCCAGTGCAATGTCCTGCCTCATAAACTTCCATTGTAGGTGGATTAGTGTAAACTATTTTTTGTCTGTGTTTACTGTTTACTCTAGCTAAGAGATGAGCTGAAATGATTTCCTGTGGTAATAGAAGAAACAATCACAGATGTTGTCAGAGCTTAACTTGTGCTGAACCTTGCATACCAAAAATGACCATCCATTTGGCTGTGATGTAGTTATGTCTGTCTGCGTAAAGGTGTAGTACCTCTTTGTCTTTTGAACGGCTCATGTCTTCTTTGCTGGAGTCAGAACTGTTGCCATCTTCCTCAGAGCTCAATCCATCCTCTGACAGATCACCACTCACAGAACATCTGTCATCAAACAGAAAGTACACACGTTCAGTCCAAAGTGCAAGCAATCAAACAGGTTTTTTACTTATAGACGGTAACTGGCTCACAAATATGTGCAAAAATAATAATACATTAAAATGATACAAAAAAATAGTTAAATATTCTACATTTTAAACTTTACCCTATTTATTTATTTGTTTACATTGTATGGAAAAGAGCAGCATGAACAATCTTCTAAATTTCTGATTTTTTGCTCCACATAACAAATGATGTCATACATGTTTGGAGTGACATTTGGGGTGAGAAAAGCAAGTTTCATTTTTGGGTGAACGGTTCCTTTAGCATCCAGCACCAGATAGCACAAGCAAACTCTCACGCACACTCATGCATTCACACACTTTCTGCCCTCTTTCTGGTTCCCCTCGCTCTCATTCTTTCTCCTGCAGCAGGACAGAGCTGCTCTTGTTTACAGCTTATATAAACTCACTCTGCAAAGAGCACACACACACACACATCCATACACAAGCTCTCAAGTGCACAACCTCTCTCACACACAGATACACAGGCAGGAGTTTGGAGTTTCTGTCGTGCCTGGGCAATTAGTGTCAATGTTATTTAAAATATGAGCTATCTATTAAGGGCACTCAAATTCAGAAGCTGGAATGTGTCGGATTGAAAACAAAATTCATTCATTGAAAAGAAAAAGGGAAACAAGTGATTGGTGTGACTGTTGTCACACCAATTGCACCATCAAGTTCTGTGCTCGTAATGCATTTTGATTTGATGATCATCATAGGATAAGCCATACTGCAGGACTGTGCCTCAAAACTTGTGGCACTGGCAGAATTTGGTCAATGGTCATTAATCGGCTGTCGGCGAACGTGTCAAACTACCATTCAAAGACCATTCAAAGACTACAGATTTTGGTCTAGGATCAGAGGAATCTTTAAAGATTTGCTAAATTTGTAGAGTGTGCAAAGTCATACAGTGGGGACACTGCATAGACTTCTATTGTTTTTATATACAGTACTGAGCAAAAGTCTTGGGCCATTAATGTTGTTATTACAGCATTTTTACACAAGTGCCTAAAACTTTTCACAGTACAGTAGCTTTCTTGAAGCGTCTTGGAGATGTTGCCAAAGTTCTTCTAGGTTTAGTCTGCCTCAGTTCTTTTTGTTTCTTCATGTAATCCCAGACAGACTGGATGACGGTGAGAACTCTGTGTGGAGCACTTCATTCAAAGACTACAGATTTTGGTCTAGGATCAGAGGAATCTTTAAAGATTTGCTAAATTTGTAGAGTGTGCAAAGTCATACAGTGGGGACACTGCATAGACTTCTATTGTTTTTATATACAGTACTGAGCAAAAGTCTTGGGCCATTAATGTTGTTATTACAGCATTTTTACACAAGTGCCTAAAACTTTTCACAGTACAGTAGCTTTCTTGAAGCGTCTTGGAGATGTTGCCAAAGTTCTTCTAGGTTTAGTCTGCCTCAGTTCTTTTTGTTTCTTCATGTAATCCCAGACAGACTGGATGACGGTGAGAACAGATCTCTGTGTGGAGCACTGGCTGTTGTCAAACTACTTGTCCATACAACAATCTCACTGGATTATTACAATTAATGGCAAAAGGAATGTTTGGAAATGTAAACTGATATTTCGTAACTGACACACTACAGCAAAAGATAGAAAAGCTTAAAACCATAATTTTTCTTTTTGGTGAAAATACTTATGGCTTTTTTAAACCGTACTGTATAGCTAGTTATAAGGGGAAGTCGTGGCCTAATGGTTAGAGAGTCGGACTCGTAACCCAAAGGTTGCGGGTTTGAGTCTCGTACCGGAAGGGATTGTAGGTGGGGGGAGTGAATGTATAGTGCTCTCTTCCACCTTCAATACCACGACTGAGGTGCCCTTGAGCAAGGCACCGATCCCCCAACTGCTCCCCGGGCGCCTCAGCAAAAATGGCTGCCCACTGCTCCGGGTGTGTGTTCATGGTGTGTGTGTGCACTTAGGATGGGTTAATTCCAAGTTTGGGTTACCATACTTGGCCACACGTCACTTCACGTCACTAAGTACTATCACAAAACCCTAACCCACACATTTCTTAATGTTTTTATAAAAAAACATCCCCCGAGGTTTTGGGAGATTTTGTCAGGTTTAGCTCACTTCTGGGTACAAATTTGTCCCCAAAATATGGTTAAGTAGGTACATAGATGCACATGTTTCACTCCAAGTGCTTCAGCATGACTCCCATTAACTAATAGAGTCCAGTGGCCAAATCAACTTAAGTCCCACAGTTAAAGAGAAAGTGGTTATGTTTTCAGAATGCTACACTAGCATGCTTCCTACTGCAAACTGAAACCAAATCTGAAACAGTATGCAAAAATAAATCTCAGAGTAAGTTCAAATCTAAACATAAGATTTCGAAGATTTTTGCAGTTCAATCAAATAAGGAGTCAGGAAAGAAAGAAACAGAGATTTGCATTGTTGCATGGTGAAACAGTATTAAAGGGGTCATATGATTGTTTGGAGTGTTACAAGCTCTTGGTGCATAAAGAAGATCTGTAAAGTTGCAAAGACTAAAGTCTCAAATCCAAAGAGATATTCTTTATAAAAGTTAAGAGTCAACCACACCTACCTAAAACAGCTCGTTCTAACACACCCCCACATGTCTACCTCACTATGTGGGAAGATTTGCATAACACCGCCCAAATGTTCACGCAAAGAAAGGCGGCGTAACTTTTATTCTCGCTGTAGTATTGTTGCCGCCGCCGCCATGTCGTGAAGGCGCTGTGTGTTTCGTTGTGAAAGCGAAACTACTTTGGTTGGCCTTCCAAAAGAGGATGATATCCGCTTCGTCATGCCTAGAGCTGATCCGTGCTGGTCGCTGAGGGAATACATCAACTTAGTGCTGTGGATTGCTGGATCGGCTTTCAAGATCCAACGCATAAAAAGACAGTATAAGTCATTATAATCCATCATTATGTCCCTACTGGATGCAACAAATGCCTTGTTTATAATGGGTTTTTAATGTTTTTGTCTCGTCGCTCCGGCCGGGACAAAGCATCACAATATGGTGAGCGGCGTAACATTTCCGTCACACGCTTGAGGTATTCGGCCAATCACAACGCACTGGATAGCTGGCCAATCAGAGCACACCTCGCTTTTCAGACCGATGAGCTTCATAAAAATCGACGCGTTTCAGAAAGGAGGGGCATAGAGGAGAAACAATAATGTACAGTATGTGGAAAATAATGTGTTTTTTTAACCTTAAACCGTATAAACACATTTCATTACACCAAAAACACAAAATAATGTTCTTTTTAGCAACATCATATGACCCCTTT